CCTCATGTTCAGACGGAACTTCCTGTGCTTCACTTTGTGCCTGTTGCCCCTTGTCCTGTTGCTGGGCACCACTGAAAAGAGTTTGGCCCATCCTCTTGCCACCCACCCTGCAGATATTTTGAGGCATTTCTAAGGTCCCCTCTCAGCCTTCTCTTCTCCAGGCTGAACAAGCCCAGCTCGCTCAGCCTCTCCTCGTAGGAGAGATGCTCCAGTCCCCTCCTCATCCTCGTAGCCCTCCCGTGCTCCCGGGGCCGTGCTGTGCTCGCAGGACCCCGCTAAACCTCCACGCCGGCACCAGTGATGGGTGCCTCTTCAAAAGGAGCCTTTCTCCTAAAAAAACCTGGGTGCTAATGCCAGACCCCCAGCTCCTGCCACCGCATGGAGACGCCGATCCCACCCGAGCACCAGAAAAGCCTCCCCGAGGAGCACGGCCGCTCTGCAGCCCCGTTTCTGGGCGAGAGCTCTCCCCGTACGCAGCAAGTGGCGAGAAAACGGATGGCCCAGACCAAGCACCTTCTCCTCCTCGTGTTTCTTACCTACTGCTCTGACACTTTAACTCACTGGGCTGACTCGGCTCCTTTAAGTTTCCTGCTTTCAGACTCCACGCCAGCCATTTATCACCTTTCCCTTTTGAGTTTTGTTGCAGTAAGCAGCACTGAAAAGAAATATACAACCTTATTGTTTGCTTGTTTTCCAATACAGTGAATTTATTATACGTTGCAAAATCAGCATTCAGCTTTTTAGTGTACAAAAAAGACACTAGCTCTTAAGAAAAGATTAGGAAAGCTGAAGACTATGCTGCCTTTAAATTGTAACATTTTGGCAAAGTGAAAAGCTCTTTTGTAAACTCCAACTCCATGGCTCAATATAGTTTTATCCACAGTACAATATTACAAAGTAAAACACAGTATCAATAAGTTAAGATCATACTTAATCACCTAGAACTGGTTTCTATTAACCCAAAAAGCACAAAATTTGCCTAGCTTCATAATCTCTGAAAAAAAAAAAAAAAAAAAAGGCAGATTCGACTACAATTCTTGAACACAGTCCAAAAGAAAAGTGAAGCAGAATGTTGTTGAATGCTAATTGGGTCTCACAGTTTGGATATTCATTAAATATTTTCAGTTTTTATATTCAAATTTTAGAAGTTCCAGAATATACATGTAAATGTACACAATACATCTTTGTATACAACTCTGTTTGCAAAAATATCTTATAGCAGATGTATAAAGATTGAGATCCATCTCTATCCCCTTCCCCCCCAAAGCAACAAAAAAAACCCCTTTGAAAATATTAAGGATCAGAAGGAGAAGTGTTTCCACGGAAGAATTTACTCATCCTGGGTCTGTAGCTGCTGCCTCTCCCGCCAGCCGGGCTCCTCGCGTGCCGCAGATGAATTCCCACCAGGCCCCACGGCTCGGCGCGCTGCTGGGTGGGAGCTGGGAAATTCAACACCCAAATCCACGCGATCGCCGCCCGGCGACGCCGCTCGCAGCTCTGGCACCGACCAGGGTTTTGCAGAGACAAATCTCACTGCGGGTCCGAGAAGGACGTGGCCACCAGCCACCGCTCAGAAACTCGGGCACTGACCGGGTGCAAGACCCCGCTGAGCAGGAGGACAAAGGTTTCTGGACAAAGGCTCCTCACCTTTAACTCTCGTGTATTTTCCAGCTTTCCCCATCAGCAGAAGCACCGGAGGCAGACAAGGGTACACCAACGGGTATGCCCACAAGAGAAACAGCTCCCTAACCTCCACTCGCCTTTATCTGGAGAGGAAGAGATGGGACCAAGGCGTTCTCCAAGCCCCGAGATGCTCGTGGCTCTCAAGGGTGCTCGCCCCATGGACCACCACACTCCTCGGACATCGTTATCTCTTCCCCCCCTTCTCCTTCGCTGCTCTGCTTCCGAACAGGTTTGGGTTTCGCAGCCCAGCAGAAAAGCGTGGCTGTCCGGTGGCGGTCGCGGAGCACGGCCGGAGGGTCGCCAGGCAGTGACGCGCAGCTCGGCTGCGTCCTTCAGCCGCAGGCTTTCGTTCGAAGAACGGGACGGCAAAGTCCTGGTGAGCGCTGGACGTCTGCGGGCAACGCGGCGCGGAGAGAAACGCAGGACATGGCAAGTGACAAAGCAAAGCGGTGGCCCTGGCTGGATGATGCAGCAAAACCAATCTAGCCAGAATGGAATTATTACTACTTTTTTTTTTTTTCTTCTCTTTTTTTTTGTACAGAATACAGCAGATGGACCCACTATTTCGGGGGGCGGAAAAAAATGAAAATACTCCTTGTAAGAACTGTTTCCCTCCTTAACTCTGCCATTCCGCTCCTTCAAAGGGTGAAAGACTCTTCAGTGCAACCTCCAGGGGAAGGAGACGCCACAGGAAAGTAATCCTTTACTTTGAGATAAACGGAAGCGGGAAGAAGTCAAACCACACAGGCTGGCAGGATTAAAAGGGGAGAGGGGAGAGAAAGAAACAGCAGAGTTAAAGGACACCTTTGTGCTTTTTGGCGTGTTTCTCACACCCTGGCCATACTCTAAAAAATGTTCCCTTCAAGTCCAAAAAAAAAAAAAAAAAAAAAAAAAAAAAAAACCAGAAAAAAAACCGCACCGAGAAGAGGGGTA